GAGTCCGGGTAGGTTGCCTTTTAGGTCGCGTAGTGCCCTGTAAATATATCATGTGTATACATATATTTCCTTTTTTACTGGACTAATACCTTGTGGTTCTTTGGCAGCCATCATATCTAGTGTTGATGCGTGCCACCTTCTCTCTAGCAACTAGAAGTGTAAGATGAAGAGGTTGCGTCCCGACCGAACTCCCACTTCTAGGGGCACTGAGTTCGAGTCTGCTGAGCCAGACCTTGTTTCTCCACCGCCTGAAGTTCCTCCTGCCCCATTTGAAGGAGGCATCGGAGAGGGTGGCCTTGAGGAGGGCGAGCTCTCGAGGCAAGGGGTAATTCCTCCTGGTCCTTCCCTCCCATTCCTCTACTCGCAGTTCCCGGTAGGGAACTGGGAGGGGGTCAATGACTACATTGTGGCTGGGCAGAAGAGCCGAAGGGCAATCTACCACAAGGAGGTCGCTAGGTGGGGGGAGATGGAGCCCTAGGCGGTCGCCGTGTTTGCCACCTCCCACTGTATGGTGGTAAGTAGTATTTTCTTTTTCTTCTCGTTCTTTCCCTTCTTTTGCTGTTCTCTAACCTTAGTCTCTTGTTGGCAGGTGAACACCGCCATCCACGCCATGGCCCTCCAGACAAATATCCACTCCGGCGATGCTCGCAGTCAGAGAGTCATCATTCAGAAGCTCTAGGGCGAGCTCCTTCACACTCGTAAGGGGAGCGAGGCCTAGGAGCTGCTCGTCCATGACCAGGAGGGGCAGATCGCTAGGCTTTCCGAGGAGAGCGCACGCTACAGGGAGGAGTCATCGAGTGTGCAGCGGAGAGGGAGCTCCTTCGCCAACAGGTTTGTGACTCGAAGTCTACACTTCTAGACCGAACTCATAACTTCGTCACCATGGTGGAGGCCGAGCGGGAGAAGGCAGTCTGGGACTTCAAGGACTCCCAGGAGTATCGCGAACTCCAAGTGGAGTATGGCTCGAGCTCGTACCACTCCGGATTCAAGCTCTGTCGTTGGTTGGTCCGTAAGAAGTTCTCTGGGCTCAACCTTGACGGCATCACCATGAAGGGCTTGGCTCTCGATACGACGGAACATGCGGAGGAGGAAGAGCCTGACTCCCCGTAGGACGAGGATGAGGTGGACCCCTGAGGTTGGCGGCTCTGTTTTCTGTTCTTCTGACTGATTACTGGTGGTTCCCGGGTGACAGAACCCGGTTTTCAAAGATCTTCTTGGGCGGTTGTGCCCTTTTTTATCTCTTGTTGAACTTTCTCGAGTTGTTTAGCTCGATTTTTTTTTGAATGGCAATGGAATTTCTCTTTTTCTTCTAAGTATGGTGTGTTCTTTTATTTTTGCCAAGGCGATCTCATCACTCAAGCTGTTAGAGCTACATACCCGAAGTAGGATTTTTCGGTAATCGTTATCCCTGGCTATCCCTTAGCGTTTAAGGCATTTCTATGGTATACTGCGAAGCGATTACCATGTATGCTCGAACTATATGTTTATAGGTTGTACCTTACTTGGTCCAACCGATGTACTGAAATATATATATATATATATATATATAATATTAATAACATAATATATATAATATATAATATATTATCTATATTATTAGCATAATTTTGTTATTACAATTCTAATCGAATAGGACATATGATAAGAATTCCAAATATATAATATATTATCTATATTAGGGCTGTTCATAATAAGACCCAATCTGACCAACCTGGGCCGACCCAACCCGAGTCGGCCGAGTTTTCTTCAGCATCGGTCGGTTTCGGGTTGTAAAAAATCATAAACCAATGGTTCAGGTCGGTTTCGATTTTCATGTGTGAAAACCAAAACCAAAACGGAAACCGACCCGACCCGACTTAGTAGTTAGTTCCTAGTTAATAGTTACAACCTACTTAGTTCCTACTTAACTAAGTTGTCTCTATCCTAGTTACGATCTAACTTAATTTCTAGTATTTTAGTTAGGAATGACATTAATGGCAAGTATTGTAAGACAACTAGACAATGAATTTTTTTGGAAAAGTTTAAAGAAAATAATCAAATGATCCTAGTTTATATGGTCTTTTACATCAAATAGGCGACCAATTACAATTAGAATTAGGTGTATTTTTTTACTTAGATTATAAGGTTTTTGAAATATACAACTTCAGTCTTCTTTCTCTAATACAGTTTGACTTTCTATTTTCTCAATAACTTCTATTCTAACTTTGTCCGCCCCCCTTAGCCTCTAAACTCAAGCACAATCTCTAATACAAATTGATTCTCAAGAATAAAAAATTTGAAATTTCAATTTATTACCATGGTTGAACTTAGAGCCGAAACCGACCCAACCTAACTCAAACCAAACAGGTCGGTTTTGTTTAACACAGGATCGGTTTCGATTTCAATTTCAGGTAACCCGACCAGGTCAGGTCAGTTGGAAAAATCTCAGTGAACCAACCCATCATGACCCGTGAACAGCCCTACAAGACTTATAAAGATTTCTTTATCTTTCCCTTCATTTCCCTACTTTTTCCTTCAAACCAAACATAGCCTATGGGATTCGGATACATCAAAATTCAGATCGGGTCGGATACACCACACGGAATCCGATCCGCTTACGGCCCTATTTTGTCCCAACTTTTTCAGTCGGTCCCAATCCATTTACTATTTGACAGCTCTCCAGCTGCTGGATAAAGACAGATATCCACATACCATTAGTGTCCACTATCCACATATACATATTCTAATTCTCACGGGTTCGACCAAACCCGGTTTGATTAACTCTAATCATACGGCGTCTATCTTGATTCTTGAATAGTGAAGACGGGGGATCTGGACCAGTGGTGCATGCATCAATGTTCAAATGAAATGGGTGCTAGTTAAACCCGGTTGTAGTGAACCCGGTTTGTTGTATTAAGAAGGGGTGAAATGTGAATCACGGATGGATCTGGCCCACCTCACCTGAACCACTTTCCCCTAAACAGCACAAGTACACTCTCTCTTCTCTCTCGATTTCATCGATTAGACTGTCGTCTCCTCGCCGTCAAAACTCATAACACAGGCAAGCAAGACGGAGAGAAGGACTTCCCCAAACCCTTTCTCTCTCCTTTTCTCCTTGGAGTTTGGAAATTGAAGCGCTCGTGTTGCTTCTGTCAGGGAAATGGCGTCTTCTCTTCCGGCAGCCTCAGCAACGGCAGCAGCTGCGTCTGTAACCAAACCCACCTCTTCATCCTCCTCCTCTTTACCTTTTCCGGCACGTCATTGTTTGCACCCCAACCCCAAGGCTTCATTCCCTCCCTCGCCCAAGTTAAAGCTCCAGCTTTGTTTCAAGGTAATCATATCTTTGATTTACTTTTCCTAAGGCCTAAGGTTTCTGAGATCGATCTGAACTTTACCTCGCCCTTTCACTTGATATAGACGTAGGCGAGGTGGGATTTTAGGGTGGGGTTTAAATTTGGTGATCCAAACTTGTGCATCTGACTTATCTCCTTGTAGAATTTTCTGAGTTCTGGTGGTATGCCTTTTCATTTTTTAGTGTTTTAATAACGTTTGATTTCATAGAAAAGAGATGAAACTGCTACTTCTTTGATGATTCTAATAATATTTTGGATCATAAGAGAAAGATAATGGATTTATAAGGACTCAATGTAGTAATTGTAAATGACATCTGGTGGAATAATTGTATATCGAGGAAACATAAATTTAGACTATGCTGCCAATAGTATTATTCTCTGGAATGTCTTATCTGGAAATTAACATATATTATTTGAATGCTTTGGAGGTAAATTCGTTAATCCCTGCCGCAATTTGGTCATGCCGTGTGTTAAAACGCTTCTGTTGGTTTCATAATGATGAAAGTGATATCTGCATTGCAGGCTCTGCACTCTAATCGGAACCACTCCACTCCGTTGAAAGCCCAATTGAATGAGGTAAGGTTCTTCATTGATTTTCATTAAGAATCTTCTTTCCGTTTTTTGTTCCTTGTGGGACTTGTTTCTAGAGCTATATATTGTATTCAAGGTTGCTGTGGATGGATCATCTAATGCTGTGGCAACTCCTGAAAATAAGTCAAAAATCCCACCAGTGGAAAAGGATGATAATCCAGGAAATGAATTATCTCCATCAGCTTTGGCCACAGAAACGTCAATATCTGAATTTATAACTCAAGTTTCAAGCCTCATCAAGTAAGAGATCCATTTGCTTCTCCTTGATGTTCTCTATCTAGCATTTAATTCCGGAAAAGGTTGGTCTTGATCATATATACATATATGTATGCCTGTCTTATAGGCTTGTAGATTCTAGAGATGTTGTGGAATTGCAGTTGAAGCAACTTGATTGTGAGCTGATCATCCGTAAAAAGGAGGCCTTGCCACCGCCACCTTCTCCTCCAGTGGTTATGATGCAATCTCCTTATTCACCAGCAGCCATGCCATCAGCTTTTCCACCAGCACCACCTGTAGCTCCCCCAACACCTTCTGCCCCTGGTTCTTCAACGTCAACTCCTGCACCATCTCCATCTGCTTCTAAATCAGCCAAGTCGTCTCTTCCATCTCTTAAAAGCCCTATGGCTGGAACATTCTACCGTAGCCCAGCACCTGGTGAACCCCCATTTGTTAAGGTGATTATTCTTTAATAGGGTGTGTTTGAAATTTTGAATCATGAAATTAGTGATGTAGGGATTGAAATTGCATGCCAAAATGCTAATTGTAGGCATTTTGATGTTCCCAATTAATATGAACTAGAATGTCCATGGATTTCCAATTTAAGAATTGGGTTATAAATAAACCCACGATGACCCCTCTCAAAAGAGAAGTAATAAGATAGAAAAGTTATAGTGATAAATAAGAATAAGACTATTATATTAAAAAAATAAATGCAATCATACTTTACCTTCATTCAAAAAATAAATAAATAAGTAAATAAATAAGAAGTAGAGTATTATATTTAATAATGATAAGATATCTCAAATCATATTATTATCCAATAAAAATTAACTATATTTAAATGAGGATCTATAGTGGTTTAACTCATAGCATCGTATGACTTAACAAATATATAGTAACAAGAAAATAGTAAAGTATCCTTTATTTTGTTTTACTTTTTACAATCTAAAGAAGAAATACAAAACATAACAACAACAACAACAACAATGATAATGATGATAATGAAACAATAATGGAAATAGTAGTAGTTGGAGAAAATAAGTGATAATTTTCTAACTAATCACATTATGGCAAATTAATTATTCAGTTAAAATGGTTTAAACATTTTGATCTATCCTCGACTAAGTGAATCAATTCTTCTGTGATGCCCAAACAATGAACTTTCAATCCATAGGAATTCCAATACTTGGACATTCAAACTCTTATGCAACTGAATTTCCATGTCAATTCCAATTTGCACAATCCAAATACATCGTTAGATTTTTTTTTGGAAAGGCACTTCAATAATGCATTCTCTTGTCAGGTCTACATAATTTTTTCTTTTCTCTTGCCATTCCTCAGGTTGGAGACAAAGTTACAAAAGGGCAGATCCTTTGCATCATTGAAGCCATGAAATTGATGAATGAAATTGAAGTAATGCCGCTATTCTTTTACTTTCTGTTATAAAAGTTCTTTTTAATAAACTGTGCTATTAAAATTTGGTTCACCACACATAGAGCTTCTGCTCCTTATTCTAACATTGCTAATTTTTTTCTTTCCCTTTTCTCTTTTTGGCTCATTTTGTAATGTCATTGGCTAAGAATAAGAGGATATGCAAGTAGCATAGACAAAATAATAGCACTTAATGCACGATCTGACACACAAACACAAGCATATGAAATAAGGATTGTATGCCTAGCAAAGAAAATGCTAGGGATTTTTATATAGTTGGAATGAAGTTTAAAGGTCAAAGCTCAGCATAGGCTGAAAGTTAGTTGAGAAGGTGAAAATGGTGAGCAAGTAAACACTCTAAAAGGGTAAGCTGGAATTTTGAGATACTTTGCTCATTGCTTATCCATTTCTTCTTTAGTGCTTGTGACAAATCATTTGGAGAGAAACGTTCTGGCCTTCTGGGTACAGTTTTATGGAATGTTTGGGTCTTTGGGAAGAGTAGGCTGCCAGGGTTTCTCAGAATAGGCAAGGGCAGTCCAGGCAGTGACTAAATCGGTCACTATTGGAGTGGTCCATTGGGTACAAGCACTAGACAAGGGCTGAAGACAGACTTGATAATTAAGGAGTACTTCATGTGGTTTCAAACTCGAAAGAAATTCTATTCAATTTTGAATAAGGTTAATAAATTTAACTTTGGTTAAATGTTGAGTGAGAGTTTATATTATTTAATGAAGTTTTGGGATTTTATTCACTTATTTTGCTCAAAATTAGAACTAGTATTGGAACTAATAAAAATAAGCAAATACCATAATGCATATATAATATAAATTAAAAACATGAATAAAAATAAGAACTTTGTCAAAAAAATTCACCAAAAATTCTGGAACAATTTCTACATGCACCGAGTGGTGAGTAGTTCAATACTCTCTCTCTCTCTCTCTCTCTTCTAGTGTGATAACCTGAGTGGTGTGATAAGGTCTTGCTACCATGTTAAATAAATAGTTATTATTTAAGATCTGAGTAACAACATTAATTTGATACGTGTGACATCATTTCTACAGGCTGATCAATCAGGTACAATAGTTGAGATCCTCGTAGATGATGGCAAGCCTATTAGCGTGGACACTGTATGTTTTCCCCAGAACTCCTTGTTTGTATTGTGACACATTTTATATGCATGTAGGTTTTCAAGTTATCTTGACTTTGCCCTATTTTTCCCATCTTTGCAGCCACTTTTTGTGATCGAGCCATAGAGTTGATGACTATAGAAGGGGGCAGGTGAACTAAATGAGGGGGGTTTGAGCTATTTTTCTTGGTAATGTAGCAAAGTTGTTTAGGTATGTTTTCTTATGGATAAAATGTTTTGCCTGGAATGAGATGGTAGGTAGAGATTAAGATTTAGTAGTTTAGGTATGTTTTCTTGTGGGTTGAGATTTTCTTTTTTATTTAAAATATACAACTAGAAGGAATTCTATCATAAGTTATAACTAGCTGACAGCCCATGCAAAGCACAAACAGAGAACAGGAAGTGAATGATTAAAAATTGGGACACAAAATGCCTGATCGAGACCATGCGTTTTTTATTTTCACTCTGTTACAGGGCAAAATCTATAGATTGTTTTCATTGATACATGGGAGATAGTAAATCGGATGGTCTGTACCTTATTCATAAACGCTGGTTCATAATGTAATTCAGTGTCAAATGGGCTGCATAATACATCTGTCAACAAAGTTGTCAGCATTTTGATTTTGGGATGTTCATTGATTCAGATTGTGTATGTTTTAATAACTCGGACCAGACCGGATGGCCGGATCATTCAATCCGGGAACCAGAGGACATTCTGGTTTTCTTTTAAACCCCGGTTTTCATATTATTGAAAAACTAAAAGAACCTATAAAAACTCGGCAGAACAGTTGAAAACTGGTTAGGTTTCAACGATCCAATTGATTTATGATGTAGTGCGATCTAGCTGCTCCCAGCTGGAGGTTATCTGGCTTCTAAACGGACGGTGGACTGAACCTACAAGGAGAGAACCTGGGGATGCTAACCCGGCGAGGTTGCTCCGATGCTTAAGTCAGTAGGCTAGTAGCGAGCTAATATTGCTTTGAAAGTAGAGAGCTTGAGAGCAGGAAAATCATGCATACCTTGCACCCCCGGGGGGTGGAGTCTTTATATAATGAAGTCCTCGTGGGTTTTGCAGAGCGGTTCCGGGATTTTCGTTACGATGAGAGAGAGATAAGGCTTACCGTTACGAGGCATGATCCCGCGAGGCTCGGAATCTGATGGCGAGATCTTCGGGGTTGCCATGTAGTGGTCTGTCAATATCACCCGAGTTACTTCTCTTTAGATCCGACCTGGGGCGAACGCCGAAGTGCCTTGGGATCAAGGTGGTCTTGATATGACCTTACACCGAGGTGAACTCATCCCGAAGTGGTTCGATTCTCTGAGCTTGATATGTTGTGGACTTGGCATGTCGGGCTGAGCTGTCGTCTTACTAGTTAGGTCGTGTCCACATGTTCCCCTATTACTATGTTGGGCTAAATTGTCCTTCATTAATTGCCCTCACTCCTCCAATCGGGGGTCCCGACTCGGTGCGGGGAGTTCATGACGAGTCTAGGTGGATTTGGCACGAGGTCTAGGCGGTCTGTCGAGCGGATCAACTGGTCGGACCTGTTTGAACATCTGGTTTAACCAGACGTAGCCCAGGTCGCGTTGGGTGTACGTGTGGACGTCATGCTGTTTATGGACTCTACGGATGTAAAAAACGTGCTTAACCGATTTTGTCCTCGGGCGTCGTGCAATCGGTTTTCATGAGAGCCGTTGGATCAAGCAAATCTTAGCCGTTAATCGCCTCGCGGTGAACTATAAATAGGGGGTTGAGGGACCCCACTTCTTTGCCAAAAATTTTGTGATTGAGCTCTCCCGAGGTTGTGTCGAAGTCTTTCAACTCGCTCTTTCTTTGTATTCTGAGGTCGTCCTTCTCTTGGTGAGTTCGTGTTTTCCTTAGTTTGTTCTCCTTTGTTTTTTAATCATGTCTAGCTCTAGTATAGATAGGCTCTTAGGTGACTCTAGCGAGGTCGGGGGCGCCGAGGTGCAGTCCATGGCCCTTGTTGGGGAGGTCAGCTCGTCGCTGGGCGACTCCCCTCTTTGGGTTTTAGAGGGAACTTCTCTACCTGAAGTTGGGCCATCTCGGCCTGGCGAGCCCGAGGCACGGGAGGAGGGACTGACCTTTAGGACGGAGGTCCCATCTTCTTACCGGGGTCGGGATCCGGACGACTTCGGTCCTTCTATCTTGACCTCGGATAGGTTAATGTATTTAGTAGCTCGCTATCGTCTTCCCGATAGCCTAGTCTTTAGTGTTCCTCTAGGTCAGTATCCTTGGGCTCACGATCCTTATGAGCTTGTGGTTTTTGAGGAGCAGCTCGCTGCCAGGCTACGCTTCCCGCTCCACCCCTTCATTATAGAGATAGTCAAGTTTTTTAACATCACCATCGACCAACTACACCCGAACTCTATCCGGAACATAGTAGGCACCATCTCCCTGTTCCATGAGTACAACCGACCTCTGTCCCTAGACGTTTTCAGTTTGATCTGTTCGATCAGAAAGAATTCCGCTTGTCTGCGCGGGGACGTCAGACAAAGTTACTACATCTCTCATCGGCTCGGGTTTAAAATCCTGTTCGGCAGCCCAAACAAGGTTCCGGCCTGAAAGATGAGGTACTTCCTTGTCCGAAATCCTGAGGGATGGTCTTTTCCAACTCATTGGAGGGTGGCTATCAAGGATCCCGACGTAAGTTTAGATGCGGAGACAAGGACAGTTATCAACTTTTGGAGGGACCTCGGCCTGGAGATGAAAGATTTCTTGGCCGAGGAGAAGCTTGTGCGAGCTGGGCTGAGCCCTCCTAGTAGGTCTCCACCTCGACTTTTATTTTAAGGTTTTCTTTAGTTCGCGACTAACCCTTTTTCTTACTCTTACAGTTACCATGCCAGAGGTTGATGCTAAGGACCTTCTCAAGTGCTTTCAGAGAGGGAAGAAGAGGAAGGCTTCAAAGAAGTCTCGCCGGGAGGCCGATCCTTCTGTCCTCGCCCCATCCGAAGTCCTTGCTCCGGAGCCGATCTCTACCGAGCTTCCCAAGGAGGAGGTCCACCCTCACGAACTCCTTGAGGAGGAGGTCTGCCCTCAACCCCTTACAGTGGACTTGGACGAGGACCAGGAGGAAGACCTTCAGCCTCACGAGCCGGAGAGCACTTCCGCGCCCGAGCCTGAGTCCCCCAAAGAAAGCATAATGACCCCTCANAGGAGGAGGTCCGCCCTCACGAACTCCCTGAGGAGGAGGTCCGCCCTCAACCCCTTATAGTGGACTTGGACGAGGACCAGGAGGAAGACCTTCAGCCTCACGAGCCGGAGAGCACTTCCGCGCCCGAGCCTGAATACCCCAAAGAAAGCATAATGACACCTCGGCTCGGACTGCTCAAGAGCAAGGGTGCCGTCTTTCCTGCCGAGGTCGCGAAATGGGCTGATATGCCTACAAGCCAGCTCGGAGGCCGGGCTGCCAACTACTGCATGGTGGTAAGTATCTTACTTTACATTTTATTTCCTTGTCAAATTTTCAAACGTACTTACCTTGGTTTTCTTTACCAGGTGAAGACCCCTCGGCTCGGACTGCTCAAGAGCAAGGGTGTCGTCTTTCTTGCTGAGGTCGCGGAATGGGTTGATATGCCTACAAGCCAGCTCGGAGGCCGGGCTGCCAGCTACTGCATGGTGGTAAGTATCTTACTTTACATTTTATTTCCTTGTCAAACTTTCAAACATACTTACCTTGGTTTTCTTTACCTGGTGAACTCCACCATTCATTCGTTGGTCTACCAGTTCGAGGTCTTCCTGAAGAGAGCTCGAGAAGCTGAGGAGAAGGCGCATAAACTTTATCGCGAGCTGGACATAGCTCGAGGTGAGGTTCTTCGGGCCAAGAAGGGAGTTCGGAGCCAGCAGGAGCTGATCATGGCCATGACCGAGGAGAAGGCGAAGCAACAAGAGCTGATCATGGCCATGACCGGGGAGAAGGTGAAGCAACAGGAGCTGATCTCAGCAATGACCGAGGAGAAGGCGAAGCTTCAACGAGAGATCGAGAATCTTGAAGCAATGATCCAAGAGCGAACTGAGATCTTCGAGACCGCCATCCAAGAGGAGCGAGCTAAAGAAAGAAGCCACGCCATTGACCGCTTCAAGGAATCCTCGAAGTTCCACAATCTCCAGGTCGAATATGGATTGAGCTCCTATCTTTCTGGCTTCAAGCTGTGCAAGTATCTAATGCGGCAGAAATTCCCCGATCTTGACCTCAGAGTCATCTCTATGTCTGACCTTACTCCCGAGGTGGCGGAGGCGGCTAACGAAGAGCCCGGCTCATCTGAAGAAGAAAGTGACGACAAAGTCCAAGAGGCGGGCCCATCGGGTCAAGAGGACGCGGAGGAGCATATGGAGACCGACCTGCCTGGCAGTCCGCATGCATGATCTTGGCTTTTTCTTCTTTTTACTGTTTGGATGTACACCCCGAGGCCACCGAGCTCGGGTTATAATGAGATCTTTGTACTTAAAATCTTTTCATCAATGAAATACAAACTTTTTTTGACTAATCCTTGTGCAAAAATATTCTAAGTGTAAATGACCCCCGATCTAGCGATTTAAACCAGATAGAGGTAGGAGTAGGTTTATAGGTTATCCTGAATTGTCGAGTTACCGAGCTGGACAACAAGTAAGGATACTCAAAGAAAAATTTTTCTATGTGGTTGTCACCCCGAATTGTCTATTCGAACTAGTAGTAGGGGTAACTTCACGTAATGTACACCGATGTGAGCGACATTGCAGGGTATATACCCGACCTGTCCGCGCACGGGCTACTTACTTAGATGTCGGTTGTCCCTAACGGGGCCCAACCTATTGTTATATGCCGAAGTGGGCTAGACATCGTAGGGCTTATACCCGAGCTGTCTACGCCTTAGGCATTAGAGGTACTTTGCCTATGCCGAAGAGGCGACTAGGACTTATTTGCCCATGTCGAGGAGGCGACTGGGATTTGTTTGCCCATGCCGAAGAGGCGACTGGGACTTGTTCGCTCATGCTGAGGAGGTGATTGAGAGTAGTTTGCCCATGCCGAAGAGGCGACTGGGACTTATGTGCTCGGCGCTTTAGTCCTTGGACTTCTGGGAGTGACTCGTAGTCCGGTCTCCAGTTTGGCAATCACAGGTAGTACCACCTTAAGTTGCTGATGTTCCATGCTCAAGGTACCTGTTTTCCTTCTAGGGTTTCGAGCTCATACGTACCTTCCCCGAGTACCCGTCTTACTCGGTACGGAAGTGCCGTTTCTTGACCCGGGCGTTATAGTACCGAGCCACCCTTTGCTGGTAGGCTGCAGTCCGAATGTATTCTAGGTCTCGTACTTCTTCCACCAGGTCGAGGTTGGTACGGAGCTCGTCGTCGTTTGCTTCTTCGTTGTATGCCTCCAAGCGTAGTGTAGGCACCTCGATCTCGGGTAGGATTACCGCTTCCGTGCCATAAGTGAGGTTGAAGGGGGTTTCACCCGTGGCGATCTTAACGGTGGTTCGGTAAGCCCATAGTACACTGGGCAGCTCATCTACCCATAGTCCCTTAGCTTGGGCTAAGCGGGCTTTTAGTCCATAGAGTATAGATCTGTTCGTGACTTCTGCCTTCCCGTTTGCCTGAGGGTGTGCCACCGAAGTGAAGTTCTGCTGTATCCCATCTCGGTGCACCAACTCTGGAATTCCCCGAGTACCCGTCTTACTCGGTACGGACCTTCCCAGTTTGGTCCGAGCTTACCGACACCAGGCTCAGGAACAATGACTTTCCTGAGAACTAGGTCGCCAACACGGAAGTGCCGTTTCTCGACCCGGGCGTTATGGTACCGAGCCACCCTTTGCTGGTAGGCTGCAGTCCGAATGTATTCTAGGTCCCGTACTTCTTCCACCAGGTCGAGGTTGGTACGGAACTCGTCGTCGTTTGCTTCTTCGTTGTATGCCTCCATGCGTAGTGTAGGCACCTCGATCTCAGGTGGGATTATCGCTTCCGTGCCATAAGTGAAGTTGAAGGGGGTTTCACCCGTGGCGGTCTTAACGGTGTTTCGGTAAGCCCATAGTACACTGGGCTGCTCATCTACCCGTAGTCCCTTAGCTCGGGCTAAGCGGGCTTTTAGTCCATAGAGTATAGATCTGTTCGTGACTTCTGCCTTCCCGTTTGCCTGAGGGTGTGCCATCGAAGTGAAGTTCTGCTGTATCCCATCTTGATGCACCAACTCTGGAATTTGGTATCTTCAAACTGCTTACCGTTGTCGAAGATAAGCACCCGAGGTAGCCCGAAGCGGCATACTATGTTCATCCAAAAGAAATTTTGTATACTGTGGGCTGTGATTGTTGGTAGGGGTTACGCTTCCTCCCACTTTGTGAAGTAATCCACTACTACTACCAGGAATCTCCTCTGTCCTGTCGCTGGCGGGAATGGGCCAAGAATGTCGATTCACCATTGTGCGAAGGGCCATGGGCTGGTGAGATACTTCATGTCCGCAGTAGGTCGGTGGTGGATGTTGGCGTGCCTTTGACATTTATAGCACTTCTTGACAAGCTCGAGTGCGTCTACCTTCCTTGTGGGCCAATAGTACCCCTGCAGCAGCGCTTTTTGGGCAAGAGCCCTATCACCCAAGTGTCCGCCACACAAGCCTTCATGAGTGTCGTGAAGAACGAGTTCGGCCTCTGAGGGTCACAAGCAACGCAAATAGGGGAGCGTGAAGGATCTCCGGTACAACCGCCCGTCTATCATGACGTACTTGGCTACCTTTCGCTCTACCCTTCTAGTCGCGTTGCGATCTGCAGGGAGGGTCCCGTGTAGCAGGTAGCTCGCGAGTGGGTCAATCCAGCTCGGCTCTGCTTGTGCAACAGGAGCGACCTCTTCTGCCCCCCCGAGAATGCTGGGCCGGGGTAGGTTCTCTATATACACGGTCCTCATGGTGTTCCTACTTGTGCTGGCTAACCGGGACAAGGCATCGGCCTCAGCATTCTCGGACCTTGGAATCTACCTGATGAAATAGGACTAGAAGCTGCGTAGAACTTCCTTGACCTTGGCTAGATAAGCGACCATGGTGGGGTCGCGAGCTTCATAATCACTGGTGACCTAGTTGACCACGAGTTGGGAATCACTGTAGATGACAATGTGTTTAGCTTGCACTTTGTTCGCTAGAGTGAGCCCGACTACCAGTGCTTTGGAGGACAAAGGAGATGACTCGGAGAGGAGGGGAGCGGTTTTTGTGGCTTCCGAGCTCGCCTCCTCTTTACCTTTAGGCTGCTCAGGTTGACTAGGTCCAACGAGCTGGCTTGGAACTACAGTTCGATGTGCCTTAGGACGCCGCCTTTGCTGCTTCTTGACTGGCTCCGCATTGGTGCTGCTGACCTCAGTGTGGTCGGGTAATGTCCTGGCACGGAGTGGTTCGAACTGTTGTGAACGGAGGGGCCTCGCTTGGATTCCGCGGCCAGAACCCCAAACCGGTTTCCTGCAAGCGAACCTTCATGATGCAAGGGCCAAGGTGAAGTAGCTCTGGCGGGCTGAGTGTCTCCCGGCCTGTTCACGTTCTACGAAGCGGGAGGAGTAACTTGCCTTTCCCTCCTACTGCGGGATGAGACCTGGCTCCCAAGGGGATGCTGAATCTGGGAAGTCTCTCCCCGGCGAGGAGGGCGAGTGTTCTGACGACGGGACTGTGCTGCCGGATGCCGAGGTGGAACCGACTGTTAATTCTACTACAGCGGTGGGAACTACTGCTAGTAAATGTGGTGTAAAACCTGTTGCTGGTAGTGCTGAAATTGTTGGACCTGTTGCATTTGGGCTTGAATAGCCTGCACGCAGTGTACCAGGTCGTCGAGCTGATGCTGTCCGACTCTAGGGGGAACCACAGATGGTTCAGCAAAAGTTGCACCCACTACAAGAGGGAGTGGGGCATTCACTGGCACAGTTGCATAAGGTACGGTCAGCGTCGGGACCCCACCCGTGGAAAGCGGAATGGTGATCTGACCGATGTACACGGTCGGGATCTGAGGTTGCCCCCCGGAGACATTCATCTCATTATTTTGTCTGGCGTTGCTGGAGGATGCCATGGATTATGGGCTTGTGATTCTTGGTGGAAAGAGGCTTTTCATAGCGCTTCCCACAGACGACGCCAATTGATGTAGCGCGATCTAGCTGCTCCCAGCTGGAGGTGATCTGGCTTCCAGATGGACGACGGACTGAACCTGCAAGGATATCAGAGAACCTGGGGATGCTAACCCGGCGAGGTCACTCCGATGCTTAAGTCAGTAGGCTAGTAGCGAGCTGATATTGCTTTGAAAGTAGAGAGCTTGAGAGCAGGAAAATCACGCATACCTTGCACCCCTGGGGGGTGGAGTCTTTATATAATGGAGTCCTCGCGGGTTTCGCGGAGCGGTTCTAGGGTCCTCGTTACGATGAGATCCGTTTCCGTGACAATGGGGGATAACTGATAGGGTTTATCGAGCCCGCCCGAACTGGACGGGAGGGAGATAAGGCTTACCGTTACAAGGCGTGGTCCCGCGAGGCTCATAATCTGATGGCGAGATCTTCGGGGTTGCCATGTAGTGGTCTGTCGATATTACCCGAGTTACTGCTCTTTAGATCCAACCTGGGGCGAACGCCGAAGTGCCTTGGGACCGAGGTGGTCTTGATACGACCTTACACCATGGTAAACTTGTCCCGAGGTGATTCGATTATCCGAACTCTAAATGTTGCGGACTTAGCATTTAGACTGACCTGTCATCTTACTAGTTAAGTCGTGTTCACGTATCCCCTGTTACTAGGTCGGACCAAATCGTCCTTCATTAATTTCTATGACCCGCCTGGGTCACTAAATCCACACAAACCTTAAAATGTAAATGGGAAGATTCAAACGTGAAATCTCAAGCGTACATATATAAGTGCCAAACCATTAAGCTATAGCTGTCATTCATTTTATACTTCTTTGTGTATCTTTATATATTGTATGATTAAAGATACAATAATACTTGCATTTTCAATTGAGATATGTTTAAAATTTTACTTTCACCATCAACTGTTACTTACATGTGAATTATAAATCATAAAATGTATTATCTGTATTTTTTCCAACTCATGGGTAAACTGTTTGACGCATGAACCAGCAGGAATCCCGGTTTTGTGTCGGGTTCGAGTCTTAAAACACTGATTATAAGTTTATAACAATGAGTTCTTGGGCTTGATACCGGGTTACCTACAAAGCGAAATAAATTGATTGATGAGTGTTGACTGTTGAGTAGTGAATGGTGATACAACCTTGCTTTGCAAATTTAATTTGTTGATTTTGTTCAATTTTTTGAAAGCATACTCGTGTTCCAAGGATTCAGGTTAAAAGTCTAAAATTAAATGGTACAATTTTGACCGTTAAATGCACCGAAGGACCTTCTTCTATGCGAAATAAGTCAATGGATGCCTCCAAGCATTTAATAGAAGCTCATGTCTGAAAGTTAAAGCATCACAGGAGAGTGACAGTAGAGCAACTACTAGCTCATGTGTGAATGTATTATAATTGCATCTTTAAG